AGAGTGGTTTTTTGGACAGGTGGCGCGTGCGCTCTGGATAGCTGAGGGTTGGCATGAGATGGGGCTCTCTGGAGAGAGGAAAGGGGGCCAGGACCCCACAGCCTACTAAAAGACGCCGTAGGAAGGGGTGGAGGAAACCTGGAACTGGTGTCACCTCCCCCAGTGGGTGCCAAGAGCCTGCGGCATGGTGTCAGACCAAAGCCGGCGGGTCCCTGCGCTGGCCGCGCCCTCTCCTCTCCAGCTTTACGCACGGGCTTTGGGTCGCCTTCTGGCCCCGGGAGGAGGGCAAGGGAACTCCAGCCGCCTCTGCTGAGGACAGGACTTTTTCCACAGCCACGGGGCTTTATACCAGGGGCTCCCAAGGGCAGAAGAAGCCAGCGCTCAGGGCTCTGCATCGGGGCGAGGGACAGGCTGGAATGGCCACGGCTGGCCCTGGAGAGGGGCGCACAGCCTGGTTGGCCGGTGGCAAGACCTATGAGTTAATGTATAATTGTGAGCAGATGGCGGGGGCTGGCGGCAGCCTGGGGCCTGGGCCCAGCTAATGAGGGACAATTAGCCCTAGACCCGGTGGGGGTGGTTGAGAGAGTCAGACAGTGAAGGCAGATATTTGCTCCTCAAACAGTCTGGAGCGCTGGGCAGAGGGCTGAGTGGCTGAGCCTTTGGACTAAATAGGCCCCCCTGCCAGGGCCCTTTCCCCATTTTCCCTCCCCTCATCACTTGTGGGTCGAAAGCCTCTGTTTGTTCAGACCTGAGAGCACGTAGTCATAAAGGCGGAGGGAGAGGGTAGTTTATGGGGGAAATCACTGCCACCACCATCTGCCAGGGCTTGTCCCTTCTCCCCCCTGACACCCCTATCTCTGCCCTCATGCAGCTGTCTATAGGAATAGCTGGTCAGGGCATGAGCCATGAGCCCCCAGATGCAGGAGCAGATCCAGGGGGAGGCATGAGGCAGGAAAGGGGGCTAAGAGCAGGGCCATCACAGGCCTTGCTGGGGACCTGCTCTCACCCGGGCATGGCTAAGCAGAGTGACCAGCAGTCCCCAGCTGCCCTGGGATGGAATGGGCTCTTCCTCCTGGGGACATGTGCTGTCCTACCTGTGGGTGCTGAAACCACTTGCTGCAGTCTCCCCTGTGCCCTGGGGCACTGGCCCAGCTTAAGGAGGCTAGAGGAGGCTGGAAGAGGAAGGAAGTATATGTCTGGGTAAAGTAGGATACCCACTTCTGTGAGACATTTGGCTTTTGAGAACAAGAGTTCCTAACCCTAGGATCAAGCTGAATGTACAACACCCACTCCCACCCCCCAAAACCCAAAGCATTTACCAGTGAAATCCAGTCTTCTCTCCTCTTACTTCTGGGTCTAGTCTTACTGTCCTACACTCTGCTTACTTTCTGCCTGACTTCTGCAACAATGTCATAGAATCTGAGATATGGAATGGACCCAAAAGTCTTTCCATGTTGGCTTCTTCACACACACCCCCACCAGGGATCTGCCCAAGACCGTGCTGGCAACAAAGCTTCCATGCACTGGAGATCGTGTTTCACTTCCAGCATCCCACTCTGCAGGAACCACCTACCCAGCAACTGGGGCCCCTCATCCCACCAATGGCCCAGATAACCTGTGGTGTCTTTTGTGGGAATAGCAGTGCCATTAATAACTTAGAGTCTAAAAGCACCAAATCCCTAGTGGAACGGAGCCCGATAACATCTAGATATGGCAGAAGGAAAAACAGACTGCACGCCTCCTCATAAACACTCCACATGCATGTCTAACTACCCTCAGAGGCTCATTCCCACCACCACTACCATTTCAGTGTTCCGAAGTCCAGGATCCCCTTGTTTCCAGGCAAGAACTCAGCCTCGGTGTCACCTCAGTCAAGGAGTTCACGGGAGAATTGGTGAGAATATCCCCTGGGGAGAACTGATGCTATGTGACATAAATTCTTCTCTGTTTACCCTCATTCTCTCGGAGTTTTAGGTACCAACTCAGTCAGTATTTAGGTACCAGTCTATATACCCATCTATCTTTTAGAGTAATACACACATGACCCAGCAGTTGTCACCAAAGCCCAGGCATGTGTGTTCCGGTCAGGAAGCTGTGCTGCTGGTGGTGCTGGAAGGCTCCTTGTGCTTCTGTGCATTCAAAGCATTAGGGACACAGTCTGAAGTTCCCCATCTTCCACGTCCCTATGCCCTTCAGGAGTACTGGTCCCTGTGTGGGTGCTCTCTGGGTCCAGGGGGCCTGCGTGAGAATGGCTCTGTCCCTGCTTCAGGGTAGTAGGTAGACACAAAGTGGGCTCTGAGGACTCCCCATGGAAGGACACAATGGGTCATTGGCTGTGGTTTGCCCTGCCTCAGGGCCGGTGTCAGTCAGCCCATGCACACCTCCCTCCTCCTCTCTCCTCTGCTCATGGCCTGTGACATCACTGGCTGCTCCCAGAAGGCTGCCCTCTGTTCCAGAGCACGGGCTCTCTGTAGCTCTGGACCCCCTGGCAGGACTGAAGCAGGAGCAGAGTGGAGGCTGTCACCAGGACCAGAACACCACCACCCCTGGAGCCTGCAGGGGTCTCAGGAGCCCAGCATAGGAGACTGAGACCTCCCACTGACGCTCCCACCTCATTTCCTCCACACAGGTAGCTCACCTGCAGGCTCATTGTCTGCTCCAGCTCCCATGCTGTCTCCATGTCTTTGTGTGGCCAAGCCCAACTCCCCTCTGTCTTTGCATCTCCCCACCCTCCTTCCCCTTCCACCCCCATCCTGCTTTCCTATTTTGCCAGCGCTGGTTACTTTTTCAGACAAGTTAATGTGAATGTTAGGGATGTGTGGGGTGGCTACTGGAAATGGGGTTTCTGTTTGTGAGTTGGGGCATGATGATTTTGGGTTTAGAGATTATTTGGGTTTTGATACTGAACCTGCATCCCCACTGCTCCTTTGAGTTCTGGTCACTTGGGAGGACTAATCCTATCAGGGGTTTAGGGTTTGGCTGATATTTTCAGCTCCTTCCCCTTGTCCTGGCATAGCCTTTTACATTCCCAGCTCGCCTCTCCTCTCTCCATTGTTTTGGTGACAAATACACAAACATGGAGCAGGGGTGGGGGCAGAGAACGAGAGCTGAGGATTAGAAGCCAGAAATTTTGGCTTCTGGTGAGGAACTGGCTTCTAAATCTTGAATTTTACTCTCTGGGTGACCCCCAACTTGTGGGAACCCCAATCTGTGCCTTGGTTTTCTCTTTGGAAAAACTTCTGCCTTCCTTCCCTACTTTCTGGAAACATGGGAGTTTAAAGGGGATTGTGTCTCTACCTGCCTAGAAAGGAGTGAGTAAAGGCCAGTTTAGCTACTGAACTGAAAAAGTAGGTTCTGGATTCCATACTCTTTGGAATTCAGTGTTGTTCCACCTGTACTAGTCTCCTCTCCTGGGTTGCATTGTCATCTCTTGGAGAGCAAAGACCTTGTTCCTTTTCTTTTTACTCCCTTCATCCTGAACAACCAGCAGTGAGCTGATGCTTAATACTTTATTCAGTAAATAGTTGCAGGTGAATTAACTGAGCCAAGATGGCAAGGTTATTATAAGAAAGTTTTATGCGTAAGCTCTTCCCTGGGGTGACCTCCAGCCCTGCCAGGGTTCCAGGCATGAAGGGAGGTAGCTGCAACTCCCATGAACTTCTGATGAAAGCAGGAAAGACATGGGGGCCTGTGACCTGTGTCCTGTGCTGCCCAGAGACTCTCTTGTGCTCATGATGGTTTCCGCGCCAGTCACAAACATCCCTCTCCTACTTGCCATTCCCTCCCTTCAGTACGCTTTCAATAAATGTTAGTTGAATAAATAGGTGTGGATCTGAGAAAGGTGGTCTCTGAAACTGAAGCTTCCCTGTGAGATCTAGAACTCCTCAGAGTTAACAGGAACCAACAACCCCAGCAAGTCAGAGATGCCAAGAGGTGTGTCTTCCATGGGAAGCCGCACTTCAGGCTTGTTCATCTCTACCTCCGACGCGTGGGATCGGAGCTCCAATGCCTGGGGGGTACAGCTGAGTCCATGTTTCCGGAGGGCTTCCTGGAGAGTATAAAAACAGGCGCAAGCCCTTCCTCTGAAGTGCTCTGAACCATCCAGCTGGTGGTTTGGAGAACCTAACCCAAGACTGCCTGATAGTGAATGTAGAGCCCCGAACTTGGGGACTCCGGAGTCTCTGGCTCAAGTATGTCAGCCAGGACTGAGAAGGCTCATGAGTGGTCAGAGACAGCAATTGCCCATTTGGAAAAGGGAAAGCTCGAGCATTAGGAAGCATCATCCCTTTCTGCCTCCCCGACATTTTGTAACAGATGTGTGGGAAATGAGAACCCTCCCAACCCTCCCAGCCCCTTATCAGGACATCCAGAAAGATCCAGTCCTCAGCCACCTTTGATGTTTTAGTTCATCACTTAAGAGTTTAAGTAAAAGGAATCCTAATTTGCTAATTTTAGCCAACCTCCTGGCAAATTTTAGAAACTCGACTCTATCGCAAAACACTACATCTCAAGACCATTCCAAGCAAGAGATTTCATCCAAATAACCCCCTATTGTTGCAGACCCAGCCCCCAAACCAGAAAAGAAGTGTCTAGAAGGAACTCCCCTTCCCAGTCTTCCAGTTAGTTTCCTGTCCCTCTGTGGAGGGCCAGCCTGGAGCATGCAGCAAGACGGTAAGGAGCCTGGAGATGGGAAGATCTCAAGGCTTGGCTTCCATCAATACAGTTTCATCTGCCATTGGCCAAAGTTCTGGGGGAAGCTTTTTCTAGACACTCCCTTTGCTCCACCCCACTTCCCCTAGATCAGGAGAGTCACCCAAGAGCCAGCTGCCAAAGAAAGTGGCAGGTTTTGAGAGCCTGGGAGCAGAAGGCAGGCATCCTCCTGGGGGAGGACTTTCTTCATGGTGGGAAGCCAGGCTGGAGGGGCCTGAGTGACCCTCTTCACAGGTGGGCAGGGGAGTGGGGAGAGGTGGGGTGTGGATGTCTCTTTCTCATGCTCAGGGATGGGCAGCGTGAATCAGCTGGGCGGGCTCTTTGTGAATGGCCGGCCCCTGCCTTTGGACACTCGGCAGCAGATTGTGCAGCTAGCGGTCAGCGGAATGCGGCCCTGTGACATCTCACGGAGCCTTAAGGTAGTGTACCAGGGCCTTAAGAAGCAGGGAGAAAAGGCCTCTCTGGAGGCAAGAGTCTGGGCTGTTGTAGACTCTGAGGGCCTTTGGGGCTTGGGCTACTGCCTAGAAGACCCTCTTGGAGGCTGGGAAGGGCATCTTCAGGCTCTCAAAGGTGAGGTTAGAGTCTCTACCTCAGTGCCTGCACCCATAAGTCTCATTTTGCCTTATAGTGTCCTTCTGTCCCAGGGATACTCCCTTTCCTTCTGCCCGTCATGCCTCACCTGTCCCTGCTTCTCACCTGACTCAGGTATCTAATGGCTGTGTGAGCAAGATCCTAGGGCGTTACTACCGCACGGGTGTCTTGGAGCCCAAGGGTATTGGAGGAAGCAAGCCTAGGCTGGCCACACCCCCTGTGGTGGCTCGAATTGCCCAGCTGAAGGGTGAGTGCCCAGCCCTCTTTGCCTGGGAGATCCAACGCCAGCTTTGTGCTGAAGGGCTTTGCACCCAGGACAAGACTCCCAGTGTAAGTATCCTCCCCTGCCTGCGCTGGGGCTGGCCAACAGGCTGTCTGGGGAGAATGGGAGCCCTTCTTCCTTGGCATTGTGGGCATGCCAGGCTGGGGGAAGGGCTCCTGGGCCATTCTGGCCCATAAGTTTCTCTTCTAAAAAGTGGTGGTGGAGAGAAGATGCAAGCACGGGGAGAGAGACGAGGCTGCCCTTGGGAATGATGTGTGGGTGGAGATGGAGGGCAGAAGAGATATTGGGGGGAATATCTTGAGGATGCAACCCTGGGGCTGCGCACCATGCCCCCACTCACATCCTGACATCCCAGGTCTCCTCTATCAACCGAGTCCTGCGGGCGCTACAGGAGGACCAGGGACTTCCCTGGGCACAGCCCAGGTCAACAGGTGGGTCTTGGAGTTGCCCCCAAAGACAATCAGAGCCAAATCCTCAGCATTTTACAGTTCTGAAATCCCTTCTCATTCTTTCTTGGATCACCTTCATAACAAGTCAGTAAGGAGGGCCAGACAGGGAGTCTTATTCCTGCCTGGCAAAAGAAAACTGAGGCTCAGAGAAGTGAAGTGACTTACTTGAGGTCACCAGCTAGAGGATGGCAGGGCCTGGAACTGAGCCTAGGTCCCCTAGCCCCTTGCTTCTGCTGAGGAAGAGGCAGGACTAATGTTTCAAATCCTCCCTCTACCTCGTGCACAGCTTCTTAGAGCATCCTTCGTGTTCTCTGGGTCACACACGCCTGGACCAACACTGCTGCTGTTTCCCCCCAAACGCTAAGCATGACCCCACCAAGGTATTGAGTGCACTTCCCGCCAAGTGCTCTTGTGGCGACCTCCAAGTTAACTGTGAATGCCCCACCAGCTCAGCTCTGCACTGGCACCCATGCTGTCCCCTGGGCACAGGCACAGGAACTCAGTGACCCCCATCTGACCAGAGGAATCACCGTCACAAGCTGCCATAAGCCATTGTCCTCCTTTGCAGCTGTTTTGGCTCCGGCTCCTCCCACTCCCCAAAGTGGCTTTGAGGCTCCCCGGGGTCCCCACCCTGGGACCGGCCACCGGAATCGGACTATCTTCTCCCCAGGCCAAGCAGAGGCACTAGAGAAAGGTGCTGGGCTGGGGCAGATGGCGGATCAGAGGGTGGTTGGTGTGACATGGAGGCAGCGACCTGAGGCCTGGGGGCAAAGGTGGAGAGGTGTAGGTGGCCCTGCATGGGGAGGAAGGCAGTTTAGGGTTGTGGCAGGTGGGGAGTGAGGCCAGGGAAGACCCATGCCTTGCTCCTCTCCCTGTTCCCTTACTGCATGAGCCCCGATCTCTGCAGAGTTCCAGCGTGGGCAGTATCCTGATTCAGTGGCCCGTGGAAAGCTGGCTGCTGCCACCTCTCTGCCTGAGGACACGGTGAGGGTGAGTGAGCTCTGCCACATGGTGTGCACAAACCACAAGGAGGAGGAGTCTGTGCCAGGAGTCTGTGTCACCAGGGATTTGGATTCTGATGAGGTGGAGAGGGGTGCAAGGAGGTGGAAACAAATTTGGTGCAAAAACTGGAGATGAGACCCTCCTCGTTCCCCTTCTGCTGATTGCTCTCCTCTCTTCCCCGCCCCAATTCTCTGATTTGAGGAAGGGGCCAGAGAGCAAGGGTTAGAGCCGGGAGGGAGGACATGAGGGCTGAGGAACACATGGTGAGAGCAGCAGGTGCCGGGTGGCGGAAAGCACAGCCAGCTGCATTGTCCTTGTCCTCCCTCAGGTCTGGTTTTCCAACAGAAGAGCCAAATGGCGCCGGCAAGAGAAGCTCAAGTGGGAAATGCAACTGCCAGGTGATTTCTTTACACATTCATCCATCCAACATTTACGCAGCACCTCCCATGTGCCAGGCCCTGTGCCAGATGCTGTGCACGCACAGTCCCTGTTCTCAAGTGCTGCACTGTTCCCTGCCTTGGGGAGGAGAACAGTTTAGGGTTGTAACATCCATCTCCTCCCAACCCTGCCAGAAGTTGCTGCCCTTCCTGGAACCTGCCTGCCTCTCACTGCACTCCCCAGCCCCACCCCCAAATCCTCCCTCTGAGCGGATCTACCCTCACCTTATAGGTGCCTCCCAGGGTCTGACTGTACCGAAGGTCTCCCCAGGGATCGTCTCTGCACAGGTACTCTGGAGGAGAGGGAATTTGTGCACTGGGAAGACCAGAGGGCTCACTGTCTCTCCCATTTCTGGGGAAGGCCTGGGCTAAGATCCATCACTCCCCAGGGCCCCATAGTGCACACTTCTAGAAAGTGCCATCCCCATAGTCTACTATGTGAATGGTGCCTTCTGGAGTTGGGCAGGATACAGCCTGGGTGGCAGGCAGCCCTGGGGTCCCAGGCCTTCTAAAGAGAAGACGTCACTAGCAGCTAAGGATCTCCTCTCACTTTTTCTGGCAGTCCCCTGGCAGTGTGCCCACAGCAGCCCTGCCTGCCCTGGAACCACTGGGTCCCCCCTGCTGTCAGCTGTGCTGGGCAACAGCACCAGACAGGTTTCTCAGTGACCCTCAATCCCAAGCCCGACTCAAGCCCTGCTGGGGTAAGAATTCAGGCCTTCCCTCAATCCTGAAGGGTATGGGGAGGCTTGACCCCTAGAGGCACGGATCTCCAATTGGGATCATCAAATAAATCTTCATACAGCTTTCCTCATTCCTTGCATGGCCCATGAAGTTGGAGAAACTAGCATCCCTTGAGTCTGTAGCACCATTGACAGCCATAGCAGATAAAGTGGGGCAGAGATTTGAGTGTGTATATTTAGGGTAGGAAACTGAGGTCTCAGCCCCTTCCCTAAAGCCACTGTGAGAGGTGGGGCAGGAATGATAAGGCCAAGCTCCCTTCTCCTTGTTCCTGCAGGCTACTTGCCCCCACAGCCGAGTTCCCAGGACTCAGTACTACTTCGCTGTCCATGTCCTCCCTCACCAGTCTTGGTGCCCCTCAGACCCTGCCCCGGCCTGGCTCCCTGCTACTATAAGGCCTGGGAGGAGGCAAGAGGCCCCAAGTGGGAAGGAGATGGCTGAGAGGGCATCTAATACTGTCCTGCCCACACAGACTGTGGCTCCTTCCTCCTTCCTGTGGTCTCCCCCTCACGCGTGGACCTTGCCTGGCCCTGCCTTGCTGCCCCCTACCCCGTGCACCACCTGATTGGAGGGGCTGGAGGAGCGACACCCACTTGCTTCTCACACTGACCTTAAGAGGTCTTCACTTGGCAGTAATAAAAACATTTTTCATTAGCAGTGGTTCTTGTTGTCCGTCATGTTGTCCCCATAAGCATCCCTATGCCCACCCCTGTATTTAACAATCGTAACAGTTTGCCTTGTCATCTGTCTGTATCCATCTATCATCTAATCTATGTGTGCATGTATCTAATTGATGTATTTATCTATATATCAATGCATCTATCATGCATGTATCTATATATGTATATATGTGTCTGTCTTGGTGTTTGGGTGCACATATGCGTGTGTGCACAGACACGCGCTAATATTACATCACGGCACTTCACTCCCAAGTCTTCTGGCATGCATCGCCAAAAAATAAGGAATTTTTCCACATAACCACAATACCTCATCCACCTCTAAGAAAATTTGCCATAATTCCTTAATCTAAGAAAATAGACATCAATTCCCTAATAGTGTATGTATTTTTTGCCATAGCAGCAAATAGAGTGAAATGCCACTTTTCATTTTCTGCTTTTCCATTTCTATGTGCTCCAGGGTCACGTTTTCTTGGTTCTTCTTCGCAGTGAGTTGAGTTCCAAATTGTCTCAATTCTGTCCCCTGCAGAAGAAGCTCTAGGCCCCTCCTGGGAAGTCTTGGGATGTGGGGAAAACAGGGAAGGAGGTGAAGAAGGGGATATTTGGAAAGGAGGATGGGCTCATCCCTCCAGATTCTTTTCCTTTTGAAGGGCAGGGATGGGTGATGATGGTGCAGAGAGGGGTGGGAGTGGGGGAGTCATGGCATGTTTATTTACTCCCATCTGGAACAGGCACTGACCTGGATGTCCTTCAAGAAGTCTCTTTATTACCAAATACTCTTGAGCTGTGCTGGTCAATAAGCAGCCACCAACCGCCTGTGGCTATTTAAATGTAATTAAAATTAAATAAAATGAACAATTCAGCTCGTCACTGGCCACATTAGCCACATCTCAAATGCCCAAGAGTTACACATGGCTCTTGGCTACTGCGTGGGACGGTGAGGATTTTTGAGCATTTCCATCGGTGCAGAAAGTCCTACAGGACCACACAGCTCTAGAGTGAAATTTCCAGGGTAGCAGGGCATACTCTGCTCCTGCCCTGCCTTCTATATTTCAAGCTGGAGGCCCTGCTGGGCAGAACTGTCCAGGGAAATAGTTGAGGTTTTATGGGGTGACAAAAGTAAGACAGCGCAGCCTGAGAACAAGCCATGCACTTCAGTGACAGGGCTGATGTCAGCAACGGAAGGAGCTATTCAGCTGAGGCCCCATGGCTGGTCAGTTGTGGAGAACCTGGCATCAGCAAGGGTGTGTGTGTGTGTGCACGTGCTTGTATATCCCCATGCACACACATGCCCAGGCATCTGAGTGTGTGCAGTAGTCCCCCTTATCCATGGTTTGGCTTTCTGGGTTTCAATTACCTGTGATCAACAGCAGTCTGAAAGTATCAAATGGAAAATTCCAGAAATAAACAACTCATAAATTTTAAATCGCACGCCATTCTGAGTAGCACAATGAAATCTCACGTCTTCATCCTGTCTACTACACTACCCGCCTGCTAGTCACTTGAGTAGCAGTCCCAGTTATCAGATCAACTGTTGCGGTATCGCAGTGCTTGTGTTTGAGTAACCCCTATTTGACTTAATAATGGCCCCAAAGCACAAGAGTGGTGATACTGGCATATTGTTATAATTGTTCTATTTTCTTATTAGTTATTGTTGTTAATATCTTACTGTGCCTAATTTATAAATTAAACTTTATCATAAGTATATATGTTTAGGAAAAAACCTAGTGTATATAGCGTTTGGTACTATCTGTGGTTTCAGCATCTACTGGGGGTTCTTGAAATGTATCCTCCGCAGATAAGGGGGGGACTACAGTTTACGAATTTACAGAATGCTGAGGAAGAGATTCTGCATTAAATAACCTCCGAGGTCCTATCTCTCAAGAGCGTATCCCAACTGTGCCTCTTTGGTATGTTCTTAATGCTCTTGAGGAAAGGAGATACCCTAGTCTCTACTATTCTCAACCTTCACTTATTGGACTAAAATTATTTAAAAAATTCTTTTCTCTCTCTCAAGAAGCAATATACTTTAAAAAACCTGAGGTCATTTTCCTCCATCCAAACTGAATCTCTCTCATGTTCCAGTTTCAGCCTTGTCTTCTCAGTGGATTTAAAAATCAGGCATTTATTATGATACATGTCTCTGTATCACATTTTGGTAATTCTTGCAACATTTCCAAACTTTTTCATTATTGTTATATCTGTTATGGTAATCTGTGATCAGTGATCTTTGATGTTACTATTGAGTGATCTTTGATGTTACTATTGTAATTGTTTTGGGGAGGCTATGACCCATGCCCATATAACATGGTGAACTTAATCGATAAATGTTGCATGTATTCTGACTGCGCCACCAAATGTTCCCATTTCTCTGTCCCCACTTCTCTCTCCCACTCCTCAGGACTCCCTATTCCCTGAGAAAAATGAAATTAGGTCAATTAATAACCCTACAATGGTCTCTCGGTGTTCAAGTAAGAGTCACACTTCTCTCACTTTAAATCAAAAGCTAGAAATAATGGAGCTTGGTGAGGAAGGCAGGTTGAATGCCAAGACAGGCTGAAAGCTAGGCCTCTTGTGCCAAACAGTTAGCCAAGTTGTGAATGCAAAGGAAGAGTTCTTGAAGGAAATAAACAGTGCTACTCCAGTGAACACGTGCATGATAAGAAAGAGAAATATTGCTTTTAGTGGTCTGGATAGAAGATCAAACCAGTCACAATGTTCCCTTAAGGCAAAACTTAATCCAGAGCAAGGCCCTAACTCTCCTCAACTCTATGAAGGCCCCGAGAGAAATGAAGAAGCTGCAGAAGAAAAGTCCGAAGCTAGCAGAGGTTGGTTCATGAAGTTTAAGGAAAGAAGCCATCACCACAACATAAAAGTGCAAGGTGAAACAGCAAGTGCAGATGTAGAAGCTGCAGCAAGTTATCTAGAATATCTAGCTAAGATCATTGATAAAAGTGGCTACACTAAACAATGCATTTTCAGTGCAGACAAAATATCCTTCTATTGGAAGAAGATGCCATCTAGGACTTTTCATCGCTAGAGAGGAGAAGCCAATGCCTCGCTTCAAAGCTTCAAAGGACATGTGGACTCTCTTGTTAGGGCTGAATGCAGCTGGTGACTTTAAATTGAAGCCAATGCTTATTTATCATTCTGAAAATCCCAGGGCCCTTAAGAATGATGCTAAATCTATTCTGCATGTGCTCTACAAAATGGAATAACAAAACCTGGATGACAGCACATCTGGTTACAGCATGGTTTATGGAATACTTTAAGTCTACTGTTGAGACCTACTGCTCAGAAAAAAAGATTTCTTTAAAAATATTACTGTTCATTGACAATGTACCTGGTCACCCAAGAGATCTGATGGTGATATACAGGAGATTAATGTTATTTTCATGCCTGCTAACATAACATCCATTCTACAACCCATGGATTGAGGAGTAGTTTCAACTTTCAAGTCTCATTATTCAAGAAATTAATTTTGTAAGGGTATAGCTGCCATAGAAATCAATTCCTCTGGTGGATCTGAGCAAAGTAAATTGAAAAACTTCTGGAAAGGATTCACCATTTTAGATGCCATTAAGAACATTTGTGATTCATGGGGGGAGGTCAAAATATCAACCTTAACAGGAGTTTGGAGGAAGTTAATTCCAACCCTCACGGATGATTTTGAGGAGTTCAAAACTTCAGTGGAGGAAGCAACTGCAAATGTGCTGGAAATAGGATGAGAACTAGAATTAGAAGTGGAGCCTGAAGATGTGACTGAAGTGCTGCAGTCTCATGATAAAACTTGAACAGATGAGGAGTTGCTTCTTATGAGTGAGCAGAGAAAGTGGTTTCTTGAGATGGAATCTACTCCTGGTGAAGGTGCTGTGAACATTGTTGAAATGACAACAAAGGATTTAGGATATTAAATAAACTCAGTTGACAAAGCAGCAGTACAGTTTGAGAGGATTGACTCCAATTTTGAAAGAAGTTCTACTGTGAGTCAAATGCTATCATTTTGTAAAAACAGCATCACATGCTACAGAGGAATCTTTAGTGTAAGGAAGAGTCAATCAATGTGGCTAACTTCATTGTTGTCTTATTTTAAGAAATTGCCACAGCTACCCCAACCTTCAGCAACCACCATCCTGCTCAGGCAGCAGCCATCAACATCATGGCAAGACCCTCCAACAGCAAAAGGATTACAACTTCCTGGAGGCTTAGATGAATGTTAACATTATTTAGCAATAAAGTATTTTTTTTTTTTGAGACAGGATCTTTCTCTGTTGCCTGGGCTAGAGTGTAGTGGTGTCATCATAGCTCATTGCAACCTCAACCTCCTGGGCTCAAACAATCCTCCTGCCTCAGCCTCCTGAATATCTGGGACTATAGGCATGTGCCAACATACCCAACTAATTTTCAAAACTTTTTTGCAGAAACAGGGTCTCGCTATGTTGCCTACCTGGTCTTGAACTCCTGGGCTCAAACCATCCTCCCACTATGGCCTCCCAAAGTGCTGGGATTGCAGGCATGAGCCACCACACCACACTCAGTCTTCAAGCATTTTTAAATTAAGGTATGTGCATTGGTTTTTTAGACACAGTGCTGTTGCATACTTAATAGATGACAGTATAGTATAATCATAACTTTTTTATGTACTGGGAAATCAAAAAATTTGTGTGACTCACTTTATTGTGATATTTTCTTATTGCCATGGCCTGGAACTAAACTCACAATATCTCTGAGGTATGCCTGTATTTATTTCTATAGTCACTTTCC